GATGTGTGTATGTGCTAATGAAAGTATGTATTGATGCATATTTTGATGTAAGTATGAGTTGATGCTTGTGTTGATGTATTTATGTACATAAATAGGTTTTAATGTATTGATGAATGGAATTATGCATTGATGTATGTACGTATTGTTGTATTTGTTGTTTTATATACCCTACAGTACGAAAAGTGCCAATTGACACCTTTCGCTAACTATATTACCGCACATTCAACTAAAATATTTGATAAATTTTCGCATGAAGTTTATGAAAATAAATCCCAGACAAATTATATGTTTTAACAAATAAGAAAGTATAGTCGGGCGTGACCGACCTACAGCAGTTATGAATATTAAATGTGATTTATTTTTCATAATAAAGAATTTATATTCTATTACCTTGTTCTGATACATTTAAGCAATTTATGGATATTAAATGTGATTTATTTTTCATAATAAAACATTTATCTTCTATTACCTTGTTCCGATACATTTAAGCAATTTATGGATGAAAAACTAATTTTCTGAAAGAGGCTTTATATGGGGGCTAGGCGCAAATATGGACGAAGACTGATAAAATTTTGTGAATATATTTATATGTACATATTTTATTGTGCTGAATTTATAAGTTAATTTTGGACATTCAAGTAATTGTTCCGATACATTTAAGCAATTTATAGATGAAAAACTAATTTTCTGAAAGAGGCTTTATATGGGAACTAGGGGCAAATATGGACCAAGCACGATAAAATTTTGTGAATATATTTATATTTACATAATATTTTATTGTGCTAAATTTCATCGCGATATTTGTGTTAAGTTTAAGTTAATTTTGGACATTCAAGTAATTTTCTGAAGGGGACTTTGTATGGGAGCTAGGGTCAAATGAGTCCCGATCTCTATGAAATTTGAGAAAACTACTTAAGAACTGGGGAAAAAACTTTATTTTTTTCGAGGTAGTCTGAAATTTTTAATCATAACTTTTTACGTTGTGAACCGGTTTTACTGATTTTTAATACCAAACTGGACCGGATAATGAATTTTTGATGCTTCGTTTTAACGTGAGCGTGTTTTACACAGACAGACAGACGGACGGACGGACATAGCTAAATCGACTCCGAATTTCACACAAAAATATAAAATTTTAATTTATTGTACGGACGGACAGACGGACAGACGGACATAGCTAAATCGACTCAGAATTTCATACAAAAATATAAAATTTTAATTTATTGTTAAATCGAGATAACAATAAAAATCTGCAATAAGTTAAAAAAACCATCAAAAATTATCTTGATATAAATTCGGTTGCCATTTTTTTAAGTGCAGCTCAAATCTAAAAAACCATGATATGTATTTGACTACTCATTAGAGTGTCCTGAAAGACAGCACTTTTGTAAATCTTATATAGGTATACCTCTGAAACGATGCATATAAAGCATTGTTCATACAAAATATGGATGAATTCATCTTTCAATATCTTTTAATACTTTTAGAAAATTATCCACCAAAAATTCTGCACGTATGTAGCACCGTATTTATTCCAAGCTTTTTAAATTAAATAATGATTTTGAATAATTCCAGCACACATTTTCCATTTACCAATAACATATTCCGAAATTTTTTAATTAGAGGAAGATGGATGGATATTTTAATTAGTAAAATTATCTGGTAACTTTTTTGTATTTTAAAGAAATTTGAAATTTTATACGGTATCTGGTACGTATTTCTGAAATTAATAAAATGCCCCGAAGACTTTTGCCTCTTTACACCAGGAGCACTACAATTCAAAGTACGATGTGACGTAATTTAAACTAAACAGTTCTTTAAATGTACTGCACATTGAAAAAATAAAACAAATCTTTTGAAAGTGTCCTTATTTCCCTACCAGTGATTGAAAATGCTGATTTCAGTATAATTTCTCAAAAAAAGTTTTTTAAATTTTTCTACAAATTAGTCAACATTTCCTAATTTAAGCTCATTTTCAATTTCTAAACTTTTAAGGGACTTTTTGGTCCAGAAACTGACTTTAAGGATTAAAAAGGCAGAAAAATAAAATAACTATTTTATCGTTATAAGATAAATTTTGATAGCTATTTCAAAAAAAGTCATTACAGATAGAAAAATATTCTCTTTACTTTTTGAAGAAATCCGGGCAACGCCGCACAGTGGTATAGGAAAAAAAAGAGGGAAATAATTCGGTAACTTCTAAACGGTAAATCCGATTTTGATGAAATTTGGTATGCACAAAGAGGAGGTATTGTCGAGTTTAGGTTTTGAATTTGGACCTTATAGGCCCGGCGGGGGGTCCTCAAATTAGGATACCTCGGCTATGTTAAATTTTTAAAACGATCCTATTTCTTCATTTGAGTTCCGATTTAAAAAAAAATGTCGTATATAGAATCTCCTCATCGAGCACTATAAAAAATGCACGTAGCAGTAAATTATCTCTTATAGTTTAGGAGATATTCGCATTTGAAAATTAAAATTTTAACATTTTTACCGTCCTTACTTTAGTTTTTTGATAATAGCGGGTCCAAATTCGCTTAACAACAAGTTTATATATCAAGCAGTGAAAGGATGATGTAAAAATCATGACTGAGTCCAAAGTTATAGGCATTTTAATATAAAAAAATAAAAAAAGGCGATTTTTTGTAATTTTTTTGGGAAAAAAGTATCTTTTTCTTTTTAAGTTATCTAAAAAGTTTCTAAGAAGATGTATATAGAATTTATACTTTTTGAAAGCTGACTTTACATAAAATACGATAAATGAAACAAAACCTAAAAATTTTTGATACCGAGGGGACCAGGTCCATCCAAAAAAAACCCTATTTTTTATGGAAAATTAAATTTTGAGCAAAAATTCTCAAATCGCATAGTTGATATCAAATTATAGTGACCTGTTTTATATGACCCAATATGTTCTTAATCATTTTGTAACGGGTTTCGATAACCCCGCCCCTGGTATGGATATAATAGGCAAAAAACCAAGAAATCCCATTTTTGGGATTTTTTTAAGTGACAAATTAATTAGGGAAAACTCAACATCTTTTAGAAAATTTACCTAGCACTATTATTGTCATCCATATATGTAACAAATTTAAGAGTTAACCTTATGGATGAAAATAATAGTGCTAAGTAAATTTTCTAAAAGATGTTGAGTTTTCCCTAATTAATTTGTCACTTAAAAAACATTAGGTAGGCATGTTATATATCAATGGAAAGGTAATTTTGTCTATTTTTCAAAACTGTATATAATTTTTGAAAATTAAAAAATTCGCGGAATACTTTTTTTAAAAAAATTAAAAAATGTTTTTTATTCAGTTTTTGCGAAGATACAAATTTTTCAAATTGCAATAAAAATTTTATTTATGAATATTTTTTGATGAAATTTTACAGTTAGGTAGATTTTTTTACTCAAAATCCAAAATTAAATAAAAATTTCGAATTTTCTTATTAGAAATCCCGGAATTCCCAAAAAAGTTTTAAAAAATCCCAAAAATGTGATTTTTTGGTTTTTTGCCTATTATATCCATACCAGGGGCGGGGTTATCGAAACCCGTTACAAAATGATTAAGAACATATTGGGTCATATAAAACAGGTCACTATAATTTGATATCGACTATGCGATTTGAGAATTTTTGCTCAAAATTTAATTTTCCATAAAAAATAGGGTTTTTTGGATGGACCTGGTCCCCTCGGTATCAAAAATTTTTAGGTTTTGTTTCATTTATCGTATTGTATGTAAAGTCAGCTTTCCAAAAAGTATAAATTCTATATACATCTTCTTAGAAACTTTTTAGATAACTTAAAAAGAAAAAGATACTTTTTTCCCAAAAAAATTACAAAAAATCGCCTTTTTTAATTTTTTAAATTAAAATGCCTATAACTTTGAACTCAGTCATGATTTTTACATCACCCTTTCACTGCTTGATATATAAACTTGTTGTTAAGCAAATAAAAAAAAAATGGCGAAAATCGGGAATATTTGGACCCGCTATTATCAAAAAACTAAAGTAAGGACGGTAAAAATTTTAAAATTTTAATTTTCAAATGCGAATATCTCCTAAACTATAAGAAATAATTTACTGCTACGACATTTTTTATAGTGCTCGATGAGGAGATTCTATATACGAAATTTTTTTTTAAATCGGAACTCAAATGAAGAAATAGGATCGTTTTAAAAATTTAACATAGCCGAGGTGTCCTAATTTGAGGACCCCCCGCCGGGCCCCTGGTTGGCCTATGAGGTCCAAATTCAAAACCTAAACTCGACAACACCTCCTCTTTGTGCATACCAAATTTCATCAAAACCGGATTAACCGTTTAGAAGTTACCGAATTATTTCCCTCTTTTTTTTCCTATACCTCTGTGCGCCGGGTACACGCAGCTAGTATAATTATATATAATTCTTTGTCTAATATATCTATCAAAAGTATTCATATAAACATTTATATGTAACGGCTTTTGAAAATATTATCTGTGTATAATTTTATAAAGAGATCTACTAAACTAAATTTATTTGTGTTTAGTTTGTTTTGTTGCTGAGAAATTCATATTGTGTGTGTATAAATGAGAATAACAAAATGCCCGCAGGGGCATATTTGGCCATCGTTGGAATATGGGATTCGGCACAGCCGAATATAACACTCTCACTTGTTTCTAATAGGTCGATTTTTAAGTTGTATGGCAATAATTGACCTACCAAAAAAAAAAAAAAAAAAACAGGTTTAAGAATTCCAATCAAAGTTATAGATTTTTGTCCACCATATTGTCCACTGTGCGACGCAAACAAACTGGTTTTTATGATCTCTCGTTTAGAGCAGTCAATTTAATATTTTATTAATAATGGTAAGGAGAAGTTATGTGTCAATTTTCATTTAGCTAAATATATAAAATTCCAACAAAACGCTTATTTTCCTCGATTATGTACTCTTGTTTTTACTTACAGCGGATTAATTGCTAGAAGTATCTAAAATATGTATTTTATAATTAAAAAACATGACAATAATTATTTTGTGCTACAATGTTGGCACTTTGATTTATTTTCAAAATGAAACATACAAATTTTTATTAATATAAATTTTAAATTAAATACAAATCCGTTATTAAAATTATCACTTATAATATAAATTGTATAAATTAAGTAAACAAAAACATTTCATTATTGAAATTAAGTAAATAGAAACTTAAATAATAGAAAACAATTAAATTAATAGCCCTGATTGCCAATAACAACACCACCCTCCTCAACATGTGTACTAGAGGTCTGGATCGAATAACTTTTTTGTAGCCTATTAGACTGGAATTATGAACATTTTTTGCATGAATTTGTATGATAAAATTAACTGCAAAAACAGCAATTAATCTTTGTTACATCTTAGTATTTCGTAAAAATACTATAACTTGAACTTTTAAGAGTAAAATGTTTACTGTTTTAATATTCACCATAAAAATATGGGGTATATTGATTTTATCATTCCTTAGTTTGGCCCCAAATTAAAATTTCTGATGTTTCCGACGAAAATGGAAATTTAGTTTATTTTATAATGGCATTTCTCAAAATTTTTGTCCAGAGGTCAATATTTGTTGAGCTAGGTAATTTTTTGAGGTTTTAATTATTTTTTATGTTGTAAAGAAATATAATAAAGTTTAGTATCATATGAAAGGTTTTCAAAGGCGCTTTTAAGGCGTATAAAATATTTATGTTCGATACAAAAGTATTAACAAATTTTTAAATTTTCCGAAACATTTTTGTTTTTTTAATTTGTTACATAGAATTGTAAATTGTAAATAATTTACATTTAAACATATTATCTCATATAATTTCGTCGAAATGTTTTTTTCTGTTTTCCAAAATGCTGGTTAGTTTGTATTTTATTTTAATTTTACAAAACTCATTTTCTCCCTTACTTACATGATATGCAATTCAATATACGCTTCATTAGATTTTCATTGATACATATAACACTTTCTTTGAAAAAAACAATTTTAATGTTGTTATTTTCATTATTAAGCCATGTTATGGAATGTACGTTGGTTTCGAAAAATTCAAATAAAACCTAGTCTAGATTGAATTTCGAAAAAAAAAATATTTAATGACGTTATATTTATTTCAGTTAATTATTTTAAAAAATCTAAATAAAAATTTTAAAAATGAAAAATTTTTCTGAACCATTTTAAAATTTTCAATATGTTTGCACTACTAAGCACAAAATTTCTCAGGCCTTTCATATGATATCAAAATATTGACTTCAGGATAAATATTTTGAAAAACGGCATCTTATAATAAACTAAAATTTAAATTACTAACATTCGCGATAGCTTATTATACATATCGTCACCTAAAACGCATACTTAGAATTTTGTCGGCCACTGTATTTGTAGTAAATAAACAAATTGTTTAATAGTAAAACCTATCATTTGTTATGATGACGTATATATGGAGTATATAAAATGGATAAATTGGACTTTTTACCTTTAATTTTTAAATGTTTTTGTAGATAGGGCCTTTTGTTTTTTGTCAATAAAATCGATAATTATGGTCGGAGGATCCCAATTATTGGTGTGGACATTTGTTTTGATGCCATACATTATAATCAACCATAAAATCGATTTTGATTTTTTGGTTAGTTAGGGCCGTTTGCGTTTCAGGTGACGATATATTGGGACACATCCAAAAATTCCCTTTAGAGTTATAACCAGGGACCGTAACTGTTATGATGAAACTCATAACAGTGTTATTTTTTTACTTTATTTTTTGAGCGGAAATAAAAGTTATTTTTTGACTTTTATTTTTTCGGGCAGAAATAAAAGTTATTTTTTGATTTTTATTTCTTCGATCATAAATAAAAGTTATTTTTTGATTTTTATTATCTTGAGCAAAAATAAAAGTTATTTTTTGATTTTGATTTTTTCGAGCAGAAGTAAAAGTTATTTCTTGACTTTTATTTTTTTGAGCAGCAGTTATTTTTTGATTATTGGAAAATAAACGATTCTAAAGCAAAAACTTTTTTTCTGCTCAAAAAAATAACTTTTATTTCTGCTCGAAAAAATAAAAGTAAAAAAATAACTTTTATTTCTGCTCAAAAAATAAAAGTCAAAAAATAACTTTTATTTCTGCTCGAAAAAATAAAAGTAAAAAAATAACCTTTATTTTTGCTCAAAAAAATAAAAATCAAAAATTTAAAAAAGTCCACGATGATCAAAATGGTATACTTGATGTTGTTTTCCGATATTTTCTTGTGGTTGCTTTTTTTATTTAAAAATTCAAAAATAATTATTATTTTCGGTCCCTGGTTATAACACATACTTTGACTTGTTATTTATATACGTATATACATACATATTTGTATGAACATATACATACATAGGTTATAAATTAAAAAAGTTATTCCAAAAATAAAGTAATAATTCGCAATAGAAAATCTTTAAAAATAGTCATACATTAATTGTTATTATAAATACATATCGCTAATTTACTACAAGACTGCCATATATCAAAATACACTGTTTCGTGCAAAACGGCTTTGACAATTTTTGACATTTTACTATTTATTACGTAATATTTAAACAAATTATGGTATTTGAAAAATGTAACCAGATTTAAATAGTAGAGGTTAATGTTTTTCGTCTAATAATCTAATAAACTAATTTATTATTATATTATTTATCAAATTTAAGTTAAAACATTAGTTTTAATTTTGAATCATGCCAGGCTTATAGTAAAATAATTATAGCAGTATACAAATTTTGAACGTATTTTGTAGTTATTAGTATTTGTGCTTGTCCAGAGTAATTTCTTTTAAATGCTAGAAATTACAAAAAATATATTCTTCGTTTTTTTTTAAGATTCAGTTTTGTTTACTATTGAAATAGAATAATATATTGCTTATAAGTAATAAGTACGTATTATTTTTGACAGTGGTTTTCTTTACAGAAAAACTTGTTGAAGTTTTTCGTAATTTGGTTTTTTATTGTGGCGATTCTATGGAGTGCAGGTGTGATTATTGCGACACGTGGAGCAATGATGGATACCTTTAATAATTTTTATGCTTTGTTAAAACAATAATTTTTAAACCATAATACTCATATAAACAGAATTATATTTTTTAAATTGTACATACACATATAAATATAAATTAGCTTGGAAAATTTCAAAATATGAAATAGAATGCAAAAAACACATCATATTTATTCATGGAGCAAACAGTATCCAAACTTGTTGCATAACTAAATATTAAGTCAGTGTTTAATGTAAGTATTCGGTTTTTGTTTTAATCGTTTTATTTAGCAAATAATTATTCGAGGTTATTAGATATCGGGTTATTTCATTGCATTGAGTGTTATAAATAAATTTCACTAATTTTTATATAACAAATAAAGTTTATACCCTTATGTGATAGTTCTTGGTTCTTATATAAAATCCTTATTAAAAGGAAAGCAGAAACATTTTGGCATTAAAAATAATATGAAATAAATCGTAATTCTAGTGAACGTAATTTTATTATTTAAATTTGTTTAAATTTTATATGTAGAACTTGAATTTTATAATTTTGCTATAAATGAGGTAGTTTCGATTAATCGAAACACTTCCGATTTTTTAATAGTTTGAATGCCCTTGTGTCTGTTGAACATCATAAAAAGATAAATATACATACGAACAAATGTAAGAGTACTTAATGTGTAAATAGCAACCGGATTTGTAAATTGTAGATATGGTTACAAAAAATAATATTATATTATTGCATCGTTTTGTAAAAATATTTTCACTCTTTGTGGTGTTTACTAATCAATTAAGCTATTAAATTTACTATTACTTTCGTCTACAAAAAGTGAGTATTCACTTGATATTTATTAAGTTTTGCAATTACTCAAATTTCAAAACATTCAATGGAATTTATTCTATATCAATTCCAAATTTTATTACGATATGCGTTTCCGTCATCAATTCAAATTATGTATATATTTTTGTTTTCAAAAAATATATTCGAAATAGATATAATTACACATTGTCTGTAAAAAAAAAAAATTATGTACTTGGTGTTGTACATTAACGACCATCCTTTCTTGAAAATTGTGAAAGTAAAATTCAATTTCATCCAATTGTGAAAGTAGAATTTGTGATGTTCTTTAGAAAAAATAAAGTTATAAAAATGTATTTATGATAATATACATATGTAGCTAAATAAGTAATATATGTATATAATTGAAATTATTAATGCATAAAAAACAAAAAGTGTGTAATAAAACTGCAAAAATGCGAAAGAACGGATTAAAGTACCGCATAAAATAACTACATATCTAATTTCTAAGCAATATTTGGCTACATGCCAAAATATTTTTATATGTTTTTTGAGTTGTTAAATTGCATATTGCAAATATTGTGTTGATACGGACAGTGGTAGCGCAACGGCTCTAAAGTTTATTTTCCAAAAAAAGGTTTTTTTTTTAATAATTTTTGTTACAAGCAAAACCTCACTTATTATTTTTTAATAGTAATAATATAAAATGGTGAGCCCAGTAGCATATATTTTTAAAGGTTTAGATTTATAGGAATTAAAAATAATCATTATTTCCACAAATAATGAGGAAAAGAACAATTCAATATTACCAGCACAAATTTCATTTGATTATATTATGAAGCGGATTGCATTAGCTAAATGAATGGTTCTTTGGTTTAAATAATTGTAAAATTCTTGTTTTTTACCTCTAATGTATAATTTAGGAATCAACCATACATATATACTTGGAAATTTCGGTGTTTGCTTTTCACTAGGTTCAAAACTTCAAAAAGTCATCATATATAAACTCCAGAAATATTTCTCTTTAATATTACGTTCACAAAATATTTTTTAAACATTGCATGCAAACAGAAATGGTTATGGTAATCGGTTTAATTTTTTTGAAAACAAAAATCGAGATACAAATTAAAATCGACTTCCTTGTAGTAAAAAATCAAATATCGACTTCTGGAAAAAAATAAAAAACCGACATTTTAATAAGTGTTTTTAAAATTAACAAAAAACAAACGATAATCAACTTTTTATAAAACGAAAATGACGACTTTTTGCTCTAATTATATATGTATATAACCCTATTTTTAATACATGTTTTACTCAAATAAAATCCGTTTACCTTTTACACAAAAATTACCCATAACAAATTAATAATAACAATAAAAAATTAGTAATTAAATAATAAATACTAATACGTTTTTGGAATGGTTTTGTCATCATTTGGTTTTTTAAGCATATGATTTTGTTCTTCGTCAATCGAATTATCACCATCATCATTGCTTGTTGACGTACTAGATGAATTGTTCCACTTTTGTATATCAGCTGTACCATAAATTTGGAAAATAAAATAAGTTGCAATTGTTATAACCGATGATAATCCAAAAACTATGCGCCATTGGTTTATAATTACCTTTTAAATAACAAATAAAGAAAATATAAGACATAAAAATATTAATTATATTGTAGTCTAACCCCCTTATTCACAAACAACATTTTTATTTTATAAAACCAAATTTCCATACAAAATCTAATTTATAAACTGTTTATAAAATAAAAATGTTGTTTGTGAATAAGGGGGTAAGTATATATATTAAGTATAGGTATATGTTTATGTATATACTAACCCCATCCTCTAAAATGATGCCATTTATAAGTGGTGATAAAAATGATGCTGACATATGTATAGTTTGACAAAAAGCCAAAACCGGACCAGCTAAATTCGGTGCTATATCCACAATGCTGGCCATGGCTCCCGCATAGGAGGCAGTAATAAATGTAACAGCTATAAACCAAACGACTAAAAGAGCAACAATGTCTTCTATATAACCTATAGCAAATATCAGCAAACCGGGAATAATTTGTGATAGAGCAGTAAAAAGTTTTCGTACATTTGTTAACGACATCCAGTTTTTTAGCACCACCTTATCAGCTACGGAACAGAAAAACACTGACGCTATATAGGAACATATGAATGGCATACCTGAAAGAAAGCCATTTTCTTTGTACGGAAACTTTAGAATATTTTGCATAAATTTTGGTCCATATATAATAAAAACATAATGGATCCATATACGGCCAAAAGTAGTTATGCCAATCGACCAAACTGGCATTGAGGTAAATATTGATTTCCAGGGGACCTTCATCCCAAGTGCCTCTTTTACTTCACTGCTAATGTTATCTTCAATATATCCTAGTTCTTTCTCCGATATTCTGGGATGTTCTTGGGGAGTATTATATGCTAAAAGATACCAACAGAGGCACCATATCATGCCGAGAGTTCCCGTGGTATAAAATACATACGGCCAGCCGAACTTTTCTATAATAAATCCACACAATGCATATGTCACCCCAATACCAATACTAAAGCCCTGGAAACTCGACATAAATCGTGATCGTTCAACCAGCGGTATCCAGTAACCGACGACCGCATACATAGCCGGCCAGGTAAGACCTGATGCAAAGCCCTGTATAGACCGTAAAGCAATTACTAGCATGTAGTGCCAATCGGCACATATTGGCATACATAAACTACACAATGCAGTGGCAAATTGAGACCAACCAAAAACACGTTTCGTACCGAAGTACTGCGTTGCAATTCCTCCAGCTACCTGCGATAACACATAACACCAAAAAAACGAGCTCAGTATTATGGATTGAATAGGAGATGACCAATCATAATAACTGCATAGTTTAGTACTTGAAAAATGGCACGTTTCATTACCATTAGCTGAGGTGTTGTGAGATGTCATAGTTTCATTCGTTTGACTTGATGAATTAGTAGTTGGCGTTGTCATAGCAACAAGTGCAAAATTCATATCGTTTCGCATCATAAACGATACGAGGAATCCTGACCATGATAAAAAATATAAAACTAATCGCGCAGGTACTTTTGCTGAAAATAAAAGAAAACATAATGAACTATAAGCTTAATTTAAATTATTTAGGAAATAAGGCGGTTATTTCGTATTTCGTTTAGTAAGGAACAACTTTCGAAATACAATGTATTCGACATACAACTTCGAAAATTTTATTTTCGAATTGAATTACATAATAACACCTAATTATTTAAAGTAAAAAATTATGAGACAGTAGTTTAAGACAACTTTACCGATTTAATGAGGTATTATTCATTCATTATTATTAATAATTAAAATAACTATTAATTTAAAAAAGTATCTAAATGATTTGCAAAAGAGTTTAATGGTTTCAATTCCTTTTTTATGTAATAATATAATACTTGGTTATAACAATAGAATAACGTAAAATATATCTAATAATTGAATATGAGATTTTGTAATTTCAGTTTCAACATTTTTGTTGAAAATTATGAAATTTTTAAGTTCCTTCGTAATTGTAAATTTTATTTCACTCTAATTACCAGTATCTGTTGTCAACCCAGAAACCACTACGCTAATAGACAACCCTGACAAATACGATACATATATACAATTCTGTTAATTTTGTGTTTTTGAATTTTTAAATATAACAGCTAGAGTATTGAGCGAGGCATGCAAAATCTTGTCGTCTGCGATTTAACAACACTAGTTGAACTAAGAGTATTTTTAATGTATTAAAATAATTATTTTAAGTTTTGTAAAATAAAGAATGTTTTGTTTTAATTGAATGAACGTACATCGGAAAATTATTTAAATCAGTCAATCAATCAGTTGACATTTATTCAGTAGTGGGATCTGAATTCCAAAAGGAGATGATCGGAATTCCGAGAAGACGCGATGGAAAACTTACGCACATTTACTGTGAAGCAATCTCAAGCAAAGTGCCGTGAATTGGAGTTAAAATATTTTTCATAAATTTAAAAAAAATATTTTTCTAAAATGTTGGTATTATTCTTTTCCAACAGATTTTTTAGTTAAGGAAAGAATACACTAAACATATTACTTATTTAAATTAATGATGATAATATAGATTATACTTGTGAAACGCTAAATATAAAAAGTATGGCTGATGTACAAAATATATGAATATATTTTATTCATTAAAAAATTATTTGGTTCGAATTCGTACATAGATTGCAATGGTACGTAGTCCACAAGAAACTCTACAGGAGTATTTCTATAAAATGTTAGCTTTTGGTAAAAAGGGTCGTCTACCCGAAAGGGCAAATATTCGACATATTGTTAATGGAAATAACGACCACGGTTTGAAAAGGAAAATTTCCAACGAATACGAATACATGCAACCAGCTCCTGGGTGATATTAATTGTAGCAACAACGATATAAGAACACAACCAGTTATTGCACACAAACCCAAAAGGAAGGACAATGCCGTATCATCTAGTACAACATCTGACAAAAACGAGATCATCAATCCGATGAGTAAGATAAAATGCTACAATTGCCACGCCTATGGACATTATTTGGTAAAATGTCGCAGAAGAAGGATCGTTGTGAAAATTGTAATCGCAATTCTTATAAAACAGCTGAATGTAAATTGGCGAAAAGACAAACCGCAGATGTAAACAAAATTGATGATATAACTTCAAAGTCGGTATAGCTTTGTAAAGCCGTCAAAATAAATCCTGTTGACTCGTTTATTGATTCAGGCAGCGAACGCAGTTTGATGAGAAAGTCGTTCTCAGATAAAATTGGTAAAACGGCTGAATGCAAAATTATATTGAAAGGGTTTGCAGGTGGTGAATATATTTGTGTTGGTAAAGTGATCGCACTCGTATTGATTGTTGACACTATTACAGAATACGAATTTTTATAGTTGAAGACTATCAAGGTGGATGAGTGTCGGGTGCAGAACATAAAAAAATTGATTTTCCGGAAAATTTTACGGCTGATGAAGGTGAACGACTTCAGATAATACTTGACGGTAATAGAACCTGTTTTTCGCAGAATATCGATGAATTGAGAAAATGCAATTTGGTGAAAATGAACATTGAGGTAAATAAAACCGAACCGATATGCACGAAACCGTAAAGAATTCCATTTGCAAAACGTCCCATTGTATCTGCCATGGTGAAGCAACTTCTTGGTAACGAAATTATATGAAAATCCGATTCACCCTATGCATCTGGTGTAGTGCCAGAGGAGAAGAATGGAGAGCAACGGTTATGTATTGACTACCGACAACTGAATAAAGTTACTGTTAATATACCTCACCCTATTCCGGTAATCGAAGAACATTTCGCCCAACTCACTGGAAATCGTTATTACACAACCCTCGACCTGCGGATGGGCTACCATCAAATTGAAATAGAAGAGGTATCGCGCTAATATACAGCGTTCGTGACCACTGATGGTCATTATGAGTATAACCGTATTACATTTGGGGAAAGTAAGTGCCATTAAGAACTTTAAAAGACCAACAAACATTACCGAGGTCGCCGATTTCTGGGGTTAACAGGATTCTTCAGGAAATTTGTTGAGAACTATTCGGAGATCTCGAAACCACTTTTCTATGGGATGAGCCTCAACAACAAGCGTTTAACAAATTGGTGGAAGTACATTGTGGAAAACCCGTACTGGCAATTTAAAGATTCTAATACGATATAAAGGCCAAGCATGAGGTCCATACGGATGCTAGCAGTTTAGGTCTAGCAGGAGTTCTTCTTCAATCAAGTGAAAATGGTAAATGCTTCTGCGATGTTTATTTAAGCCGACATTGCTCCGAAACCGAATTAGTGGTATTGGCCGTGGTGGAAACCATATAACGTTTTCGCATTTACTTGCTGGGCAAACTGTTTCGCGTGGTGACTGACTGTGCGGCAATCAAAAGAGTGAAATCGAACAAAGAACTCCAGCCGAAGGTATCTCGATGGTTCAATAATATTAGAATTCGATTGTGAATTTATACACCGTGAAGGTTACAGAATGACCCATGTCGATGCTTTAAGCAAATCACCAGATTTACCCGCAGTAGAACCAGAGCCAGCCGGTTTTGTTATGAACGTGAATGTTGCTAGTGAAGATTCGTTACATACTATGCTATGTTAAAGGATGAAAAGCCAAACCATATAATAGGCGTTCAACGTGGCAATATAAAATCCGACGAACACAGACAAATGAAGACCGATTTTGTTTTACAGAATAATCGTCTTTATCGCAAAACAAATGACGAACTCCCGTTTGTTGTTCCCAAAGCTGTTCGCTGGCGTATAGCCAAACATTCACATGATGACGTCGGACATTATGGTCTCGATAAAACCCTAGAGAGGGTTAGACAATCATTTTGGTTTTCCCGCATGAGAAAATACCTACAAGAGTAGGTATTTTCTCATGCGGTCTATATATAGACTAGACTATAGACTAAGCTACAGACTAGACTATAGACTAGACTGTAGACTAGACTATAGACTAGACTATAGACTAGACTATAGACTATACTATAGACTAGACTATAGACTAGACTATAGACTAGACTATAGACTAGACTATAGACTATACTATAGACTAGACTATAGACTAGACTATAGACTAGAATATAGACTACACTATAGACTAGACTATAGACTAGACTATAGACTAGACTATAGACTTGACTATAGACTAGACTATAGACTAGACTATAGACTAGACTATAGACTAGACTTTAGACTAGACTATAGACTAGACTATAGACTAGACTATAGACTTGACTAGACTAGACTATAGACTAGACTATAGACTAGACTATAGACTAGACTATAGACTAGACTATAGACTAGACTATAGACTAAACTATAGACTAGACTATAGACTAGACTATAGACTAGACTATAGACTAGACTATAGACTAGACTATAGACTAGACTATAGACTAGACTATAGACTAGACTATAGACTAGACTATAGACTAGACTATAGACTAGACTATAGACTAGGCTATAGACTAGACTATAGACTAGACTATAGACTAGACTATAGACTAGACTATAGACTAGACTATAGACTAGACTATAGACTAGACTATAGACTAGACTATAGACTAGACTATAGACTAGACTATAGACTAGACTATAGACTAGACTATAGACTAGACTATAGACTAGACTATAGACTAGACTATAGACTAGACTATAGACTAGACTATAGACTAGACTATAGACTAGACTATAGACTAGACTATAGACTAGACTAGACTAGACTAGACTATAGACTAGACTATAACTAGACTATAGACTAGACTATAGACTAGACTATAGACTAGACTATAGACTAGACTATAGACTAGACTATAGACTAGACTATAGACTAGACTATAGACTAGACTAGACTAGCACGCCGGGTTTTAGCTAGTTTCAACATAAAAAGTAGCCTATAGTTCCTTCCAGACATACAGGAAGGAACTGTGAAAATTTCAGGAAAATCGGTCCAGCCGTTTAGCAGTCTATAAAGCACAAACAAACAAACAACAAACAAACATACATACATACATACATACATACATACATACATACATACATACATACATACATACATACATACATACATACATACATACATACATACATACATACATACATACATACATACATACATACATACATACATACATACATACATACCATACATACATACATACATACATACATACATACATACATACAGACATACATACATACATACATACATACATACATACATCATACATACATACATACATACATACATACATACATACATACATACATACATACATACAGACATACATACATACATACATACATACATACATACATACATACATACATACATACATACATACATACATACATACATACTACATACATACATACATACATACATACATACATACATACATACATACTACATACATACATACATACATACATACATACATACATACATACATACATACATACAACATACATACCTACATACATACATACATACATACATACATACATACAACATACATACATA